CTGTCCTGTCATAATGTAAGAAGTGTAGTCAGATGTACACACAGGGACAAAACGAAACAAGGTAATAATTCAAACATATTTCGGCCAAATCCAACTATTTTAATTTGTGGAGAAGGTTTCAAGCCGCAGAGGTCTACAAGCACAGATATGGCTACTGATCCCGCTTGGCTAGGCCTCGTGCCCTCGCAAAATTGTTTCGAAATTTATATCTCCAAACTTGCCAAAACTTATAAAATGCCTTAGTTACGTCACAGTTAGACACTGATTTTCAGTATTTTAGACTGTTCTTTTAAAAATGATAGCAATTATCCCTCTAGTTTATCCAGATTCCCGATGGTTAATTCTGACTCGATCGCCGAATGACGAGGGCGACGCCATGTTTGTTAATAAACAGTAAAAGTAGTCCCTACTTGACCTTTGATATTTGCATCTCTATCCGCATATGACCCCAACGGATATCGTTTTTATCCGTTGGCTTTATCCTGTCGAGAAACCTACCCATTATATGATATTTTTTTTTACTTTTCTTGTTGACAATATATTCACTACTTTCATTGAAGTAAATGGATATTATTTTATCTGAAGTCTGAACTGGTTTCACAAAGAACTACTTTGCAACTCTGAGAGTGCTGGCGCCAGCCTTCAGGATGTCAACAACAACCACACCAAATCAGAATCAGTCGTTCGGCAAGCAGCTTTCATAGAGTAAGATGAAATGTGGATTGAGAGATCTGGCAGCTGTGTTTGGATGATCTTGTGTGAGAATTGACGATTCTGTCAAATGTACATCTATTGAGTAAATTAAAAGTGTCCAAGTTTTTCCAATAGTTAGTGTTGTCTTTTTGAACAGGATGATATATACTATTTACCTTTCACTGATCATATTTCTAAACTGTTACTGTTTCTGAAACTGGTAAGCACAAACTACCAATAGAAACAGGTCGATGGGAATTATATCACGAGAACAAAAGATATGAACATTGTGTGACTGCCAAGTAATGGGTAAACTGTTCACAACTGGTAAAGTAGGTACTTTTCAAAAAAACTCTCAAAGGTCCTCAGACATTTGAATGCTATACTGTGACGTATGCTACAATATATGTCATCAAGCTGTACATCTATTACTGTAGTTTTTGTTCTTGTACAACTCATGTACCACCGCTGGTTGTTGTCGATTAATGAGAGAGAGAGAGAGAGAGAGAGAGAGAGAGGGGGGGGGGGGGGGGGGGAGAGAGAGAGAAATAAAAATAAAATAGGTCCATGGGAAAACATTTGCTTTTCGCGTAACACCAAAATCCACGAGTGCGCCTGCGCCGGACAAAGGAAACGCCGGCCGGCGAGGGATACGCCGGCGAAGGACCACCCGATCCGGCTTTGGTCCAATCAGTCAGACGAGCGCCCGTCCTACAGCTAGGAACCTCGCCAAGTCAGCTTGTGTCAGCCTGAAAGCGAATGAGTTAAAATTTGACCGCACGTCGGCATTATAAGGCGAAAAGATGACTGTTTAGCTTAAATTCTTCAAAATAATATTTCATACCGGTAAGACACCAGAAGAATGGTTGGATAAATTGAGTGTAATTAAGCCAATTTATAAGAAAGGTAAGCCTTTGTTACCAAACAACTACAAATCACTTCCATTAACACTTGCAAGATGCTTGGGTATTTTTTTTTACTTTTCTTGTTGACAATATATTCACTACTTTTTATTGAAGTAAATGGATATTATTTTATCTGGAGTCTGAACTGGTTTCAGAAAAAAATACTTTGCAACTCCGACGAGTTCCATTATGTATTCAACTGTAATTCCTCTTTAACCTTATATATCAATATGTATAAGTTACATACAGTGTCAAAAGTATGACGTGCTATCAAGAAATACACATATGGACAATTTATTTGGTTGTCAGATTTTATCTTGGAATGACTATGAAGGAAAGTACACGTACATATCAAGGAACGAACCGTTAAATTTAAAAAAAAACAATTGCACCTAATAAAGTCGATATATTTAAACTAATATAATAAATGCAAATATGAAATTTTGGACCTCGACAGACACATGTTGTCGTTCTACAGAGGCATTGAAAACTGTCATGTCAATGACATATCGTTTGTTATTAAAAGGGCTGAGTGTAACACCTCCGTGCACTTAGAACGACAGGCCGTGGTGTTGGCAAGGAATGGTTTGTTTATTAACACAGTGGAACTACAGAACCAGGCGATCAGTAGTTACAGAGTCGAACATAGGAAGACGACGAAGTCACGTTGGCACTTGGGCAGCTGAGAGCTGGACTGGCTGACCAGTGATCGTCTCTCGTTGTCCCTGGTTTTCCAGTCTACTACTGTGACTGCGCTCCTCCGATGGTTTGCTGGTTCTCTCTTGTTAGCATTGTATTTTGAAACGAAGGGATGTTGTTTATCATAAATGTGGGTATATAATAATTGGTCAAATAGGTACGCATGTTGCTGCATGCATTCACGGGTTGGTTGAAGAAGAGAGTGGCCTTTCTCAGGTGGACAGCTGCCAGATCAAAACTAAAGATTTGAAATTGCTTATAAGTGTGTTTGGCACCTAGTTTTCTAGACCGCTTAGGTGAATTTAGCAGGTCCACATTTACATGTTGTCGCATATTCATCCAAGAACGACCAAAGCAAGAGTTACTGAAAAGTGTAAAAAATGCTTATCTACTTCAATTGTTTGCATACTTTCTCCTTTTAGTGTTGTTCTCTGTGCATAACTTTAACTAAGGAGACTGTTTAAACTGAAAAGCCTCATGCATTTTAGTCAGTGTCCTTCCTTGTTTCAAGAGGAATTTTAAATTCCTGTAACGCAACACATTCTTGGATCTTTAAAAGATTTGGAACCAGTTTTTAGACAAGTTGACGCTCAATGCATATTTTCGCTTTCGATTGCTTTGAAAAAAGGGAATAACATACAATCCGTACTGACCTTTTTTTCTGGAGCAAGAGGGTAGTCATTTTGAGTTTAGGGATATTCCATGTCCACTTCTTATGTGTAGCCCGTATCAGCAGTATCTGTAATGTTCACAACATCTAAAGTGTCAAGCTGATCGGGACTGACACATTGAAAGTCACGTTCATGTAGTGACTGAGACATAGCCTACCCATATATAATGTGATCGTCCCAATACATCAAGTAGATCATTCCTTCGATCCTTAAGGTTATAATGCTTCTAAATGAGGGTTGTGGCTTTGGCATGTTTCTTTGAAATTATACTTATTGCCACCTCGTAATCAGCCTCAATCATTAAACTCATTGCCAGATCTGACAATGATTTGAGTTCAACATTTTCAAGGTAAAGATCTCAGACTACGCACAGAGAAGGAGGCAGGCACAGGCAGTCCTGGGTTGAGATTTGTTCGACCACCACATTAAACAAATTCGTCGATTCGGAGACAACGCTACAAATACTTCTTCGCTGAACTGAATAGACCAAGTGTTTGGAGGTGGTCCAAGAAACTTGGACTTGAGGAAACGGATATTAAACGTAGGAGGAGATGGAAGGATGGTGTGAACAAAACGGGAAGTGATTACAAATTTTGTTTCAAAACTTATTACATCAAACCAAATCCACACTCAATTTTGTGTACGAAAATTATATGGAATAAAATAAAAAAATTAATTAAAATTGTCTTGGATTTTTTGTTGATCAAAAGTACAATATATCATATAGAAAGACCTCATATCGTTCAAAGCATCTTGTTTTCATTACACATTTATCAGTTGGTTATGTGGATTGTCACGTGACATATTCATATATTGTTGTCAAGGTAAGAAATGGTGTAAACTCTAGTGTTTCAAATTAAGCCTTTTCCAAAACACCAGTTGAAAAATCTGTCTGATAATTGAAGTTTTACAAATATCATCTGATTATTGTGTGTTATAATAAGTGTTGAAAGGGAAGTGACCAAAACTAAATCTTATGATTAATATACATGTAAATAACGCTATTTTCGAATGTATGTATCGTTACTGTCATATTTACCGAAACTGTTGTTGTGCTTCATTCATAAATATATACCCCTCAATACAAATATACCACAAATACATTGAATGTGTCGAACTTGCTGCGCAACCCTTAATGAGATCGGCCTGCTGTGTTTGATCAGACGCTCAAACACGACGGATACGATGTTTTTATGATAAAACGACAGAAACGTTATTGACTTTACATCTGGTTATGGAGCCATTTGTAGAATCCAGGGTTTATCATACAAGTTTATACAAAGTTTGATGGTCTTTGGTAATCTTGTTTACTTACCGTTATCAAAAAGCTTTTTTCGACACTCGGTTGTGTTTACATTGTCTGTCACTGATCGAAACTCAAACACCGCCACCTTACGTTGTATTTACAGTCAGACTGGGTCTAAAAACATGGATCCTTTTAGATGATGTCAAAATCAATGTACATGTTGCATACCGCTACAATGGCTCTTCCGTGACGACATATTCAGTGTATTCATAATCCTCTTCAATTTTCTCGGAGGATGCGAATGCAACTTGTTTAGGAAAGTATTCAGTGTCGTGTTTTGTTTTGAATTTTAAATGTACATGTGTTTTTGAAATTGGTTTTGAAACAGTACGGAACAGTTTCCTTAAAATACTTTTTTCAGTCAGTGAGTGTGTGGCTGCGAGCAGTATTTCTGTTATGACACGGCGTGTACCTCTTGTGTGTGTGTGTGGGGGGGGGGGGGGACCCAAAGCAAGGGTATGAAGCTGGCAGACTTATAAACATAATGAGGCAATACTGGGATTCGAACCCAGGAACGTAGGTTACTGGCACGCCTATGGAACTAATAGTTTTAGGAAGGAATGGAATGCAGATGGTTACAACATACACCTCTGTGGTGGATAGTAATGGAAATCATACTCCATAGCAACATCAAGATTGTTGCTTCCAATATCCAAAGGCAGGAATATACAATACGAAGCACATAAACTGAACACCCGCATCATATTTTTATTTTATATTTGATAGGTACACAAGAAAGAAAACGAGCACAGGAGTCGTCCACGGTAGCGGTTCTTCCCATCTAATTGTCCACCTGAGGTACAAAAGAAATAGAATCGTGTCAGTGGCTGGAGTTACCGGTAGGCAGGAGATCGGATTGTCGGTGATTCATTTATTTAATTGTCACTGCTACTTTGCCTTGAATAGGTTTCGGCTGATATTCGATACTGATAATACGTAACTGAGAACAGCTGTTTGTCACGGCCTATATGCACGTTACAATGAAAATTAGGAAGATACTAAACAATGATTTCGAGTGAGCAAAAACTAGTAAATTGTTGTTTGCGTCGTATACTCGAGACTGGGTTTTCACTGGTGTTGACGTTTCATAACTTGTCAAAATCCGATATATGATGAATCGTTAGCGTCACTAAGTTTCGTCTTTTGTTTACAGGAACATGTTTTTACTTTTCAAGATTCAACTTTTCTAAGTAAACCTTATTCGTGTACAATGTGAGTGAGTTTGGTTTAACGTCAACATCAATTTGGGCTACACAATGTGTTATAGGTGTATTGTGACAAGATCAGCTAAATACCCTCTATTTCTCTTAAAGGTCGCCATCGAGCAACATCCACCGTATAACCTATGACGTGATCTAAATAGTCACCAGAGTGATATCTACAGAATAGGATGTACGTATAACACCTCTCTGTAGACCAACCAGAAATAGTACGTAAGTGTGAACCTCGTCTTTGGATGAAGCAGCGCGTGGATTGAACGCTCGTTGGCGATCTTTAAGTTACCATCACAATGCCAATGGGTACCTGTATTTCCAAGGTTTGGTGACCATAGTTCGTTTCGAATGAAATCTCAATGCCCCTTAGGAAACGTCCACTTGTGGCAGAGAACACAATTAAATTACTGGAAAAAGAACAACATATATTAACAAAACAAATTCAAATAGTGTGAGTGAATAAACAAATATTTAAGGGCGGGCATGTTTGATCTTGGAGGACAGTCTGAGCCATTGACGACCGCCTCCGTGGTTTAGTGTTAGAGCACTAAGTGCGACATTAAACCCGTTTCCGCCTCACCTGACCTGAGCCATTGACAACATATTGGACCAGGAAGGTAAGTGATGTAACTCGTGATGACTTATACGATGTGGCCACACGATGGAACAGATTTACAAAGATAGACGCACTTATCGAAGTTGTATGCCACATGCAATATGATTTGTAACAATATTGAACACATACTGTACCGCTATGCCCAAAGGCCAGAGTCGGGGTACCTAGCGGTTAAAGCATGTGCTCGTCACACTGAAGGCTGGGATAGATTACCTACATGCGTGCAATGTGTGAAACCCATTTCTGGAATCGCCGCCTTGATATTGCTGGAGTACTGCTAAAAGCGTCATAAAAATGTACGTACTAAATTTGTCTAAAGGAAAGTTGTGCATAGTGATCAAAGACTGATCATACAAAGGACTGATAAACGCGAAAACAACCCGGCAAACTAAAACACTACATTAATGCTCGTATTCAAGCATTATATAAGGACCCTATAGTAATACCCAATACGAGCATCGACCATTTCAGACTGAGTTAGACACATAATATTCAGAAGAAAAAGGGTTTGAAAACAGGTTTTCACAACCTCTCCAAAATACCTGCATGGTTAGGGTTATATAACACAGTTGAGACAAGTACACAAGACACAGTACACAAAAACGAGAAAAGCAGAAAGGAACTTGGGCTTACATTGACTTATATTAATTTTATCTGTTAATGCGGTTGCTTTTTTATTGTGTGCGTTGGGGGTGTGGGTGAGGGTGGGGGTGAGGGTGAGGGTGGGGGTGGGGGTGGAGGTGTGGGTGAGGGTGGGGGTGGGTGAGGGTGGAGGCGAGAGTGTGGTGAAGCTGGGGCCTTGCTGGAATCATTTTTGCAGACAGTCTTGTTAAATTGAAACATACATTCTTCAAATACTTACTTGGCACCAATATTGTATAGATGTGTGTGTCCCCCGCAACCATTTCATGGCACACTCTTTCACGAAGATCACCCGTTTTATCGACTGGTATTTTGAAGCCTTTCACGGCCGCTCCATCCAGTGAGTACTTGGTCACCGAGGATTGGTCACACACGTACACGTAGGAATATGAACCTGAAACATGCAGCTGGGATGAGAGGAGGCGTTTGTTTGTTTGTTGGTTAACGTCGCACTCGGCAATATCCAACTTTATGACGGCGATCATAAAATACTCGAGTCTGCACCAGACAATCCAGTGATCCCATCCCATGGATATTCACGAAGCTGCGAATACTCTCAAAACAACATTGCGTTGTGTGATAACAAAATATATAATTATTCTAGGTATTCTGAATATCCTCAAATGTTTATCGTTAATTCCTGCTGCATGACTTCCGCCTGTATATAATCGACCCCAGACCAGACAATGATATGATATGATCAGCGACCTACACCGTCGGGGTACGTTCGCGTCATTAACAAAGTCACTAACTACTTGTTCCATTAAGTTGCCTCTTACACTGCTACGGCCCCTTCCATCCCGGGCTCCCTACAAGTATTTCTGGGGTAAGGATTCTTACTCAGGTTTTTAGGGAAATCAGCTGTGCTCGTGGGAGACCTGATTCAAGTCTTTATATGTTCTTATACCATATGTCCCTCCTCATTTCCTAAATAGGACCCAGGCATCATTATGTCATCATTCTCTGAATGTTTATCTGCGTTGTCAAGCTACATCCTTGGGAAACAACACACTAGAAAACTCGTCTCTCAAAAGTAACGTCGTTATATGTAAGACGTCGTCATTTTGTGAGCGCAATTCGAATCTAATAAACTGACGTCATGATAGAACAATGCTTTATCGTGAATTAAACTACACTTCGTTCTTCATCGTACTCTTATATTTTGGAGTATGCTTCAGTTGACGTGGATGTAGAAGTGACAAATGAACGCTCCTTGTATTGGTGTCACCCACCACAAAGTTCTTTATTCACCTCCGTCAAGTCAGTTTGGAGGTCGATAGTGTTTTCCGAGTTTTTAGCCACGGTGTATGTTGATGAATATCTCAAAGAAATGCTACTTCCATGGTGGGCACTGAGCCGAGAGGTTTATTATCCCTGCAGTGTTTTATTGTACAATAAACAACGACCACGAGTCGTTTGGCTCTTATAGGAAATATTAACATTATGTACAGCCTCTTTAAGGATGTTGATAAAATGTACAAGCTTTTATGATATTTACCCAAATTATAATTATGATGACTCCTAGAATAGCATCCGACTTCGGAAATGTCTAAACAGTCCACATTACGAACAGGTGGGTAAAGTTTGTTTTTTCCCTCATATTCTCACAATACTCACCTTCTTGGTTCACGAACGCACAATCAAGTGGATTGTTTAAGGTGAAGAACGTTTTCCTATCGTTTCCATGAAAAGACATCCTTAGGATTGCATGTGACGCATCGGCATATTGACAGTAGACATACAAGACCCTGAAACAAAGAGATTATACTGATACGTTTCCACCAACGCCGCCCATCCTACGAGTGTGCGCTTCTCTCTTCTCTATGCTCCGTCTCAGAGACGGTGCCTGGCTGGGGTGTGTGGGTGGATGTTTGTGGTGGGTGGGGTTTGGGATATATGTTGTAGAAGAAGACAAACAGTCGTTTGAGTAAAATATGTACAACTTAAATCCTTCTATTTGAGAAACAGTCACTGTACCTTACCATTTCCAATATTCTTACAAGAAAAAACACTCCACACATTTCACTCGCTATCAACCTGTGAAAACCCGGGTTGGAGTTGCTTGTAAGAGGCGACTAACGGGACTTGGTCATGCTTTCCACGGTTTTTCAAGTTGAAGTGATGTATCATATGTTACCATGAATACACAATGCCATTTAGAAAGTTTCGGCTGAGTGGGTTAGATCGCTGACTTTGTGTGCTGGCGATTAGGTGCCTCACCCTGGCAGGTGTGGGTTCGAATCCCGGACGGGACTCAACCCCCAAAAAGTACTAGAATCTGTACTTTACTAAGAAAGTGTTATCCCAAGTATAACATTAGTTACATATGTTACCATGTTTGATGAACACTTGACGTGCCTTTGCATGTATTTGTCATATAAATCATACGATGGAATCTTTGTTTTGTTTTTATATGTCTTAAGATACTGGAAAAGAATTTGTCAATTTTAGTTATTCAGCAGATAGGGTGAACTTGTCTTGAACAGTTGTTTTATTTTGTGACTTCTCACAAGTCCAATTGTCCCTATCATGCAGTCAGCCAACAATACAAGTAAAAGTGTACCTACATCCAGTACGTCGCGTGCTCTGTCAATTTGTGTACTTAACGGCAGCTATAAAATAATCTACTGTGGAACAGAGAGTGAAGCTGTGTTGTGATTGACATGTTCCAGGACTAGGATGAAAAGGTTGTCATCCTCCAAGAACGTCAGTGTTCACATATCCATTACTGAACTACATGACTCTAAAGCAAATACACGGCAAATGAGTACCGCGGCACTTCCCCTTCTCACAGGACGGATTATTACCCACAAGCAAGAACACTATGTCAAGATTGCCATGGTTTTGATTTCAGTTTTGTAACCTGGTTGAGTCGAGACTTTAAAACTGACCTCCATTAGAATGAACATATTTTCTACAGAAGCAGAATCACTGCACTTGTACACAGTTATAAAAAAATGAAATATTTTGTTTTTAATTCAAACAACATTAGTAAAAGTGCTGAACTTGTCTATCACGTGATTGTCTGCTTTGTCTGTGAGGTGTCAGGCAACACATACATGGCATGCACATTGTGTACGTGGCTGGTGTTTGTTTGTTGTTTGTTTGTTTGCTTGTGTGCTGTTTTTACGCCGCACTCAGCACTATTCCAGCTATATGTCGGCGGTCTGTAAATAATCGTGTCTAGACCAGACAATCCAGTGATTGACATTATGAGCATCGAGCCACACAATTTGGATACGATGACATGCATCAATCAAGCCAGCGAGCCTGACCACCCGATCCCGTTAGTCGCTTCTTACGACAATCATGCCAGGCACAATGGAATCATCTGATTATGGAGAATGGATAATCTCTGGCGTTGACGTTTAATATCTATATTACCTTTGTGTGCGATGTAGACCTATTCGCTTCTCATCACATCCGTCCTTGTCCAGGAAGAGACGTTGTGATGACGTGCAATTGGTTATGTTGCACCAGTACACATCGTCCTCTGTCGATGCAAAGAACATCTGGTCTCTGTGTAGAAACGCCCCTACTTCACCTGTATGTACCACAATGTTAGTCGAGTCAGTGAGACTTGATTTTAGTCAAATGGAGCATTGTGTCCATGCGGTTGCAGCATTTAAATTACTAGCTATCAAACCATCCTGCAATGTGAGTAACAATTAGGGTTAATAGTGTGTGGAGTGAAATGTCCTACACCCGCATAGTGACACACATGCAACGAGTGTATCTGTACTCTGATTACAGAAGAACTTCGAGTTCGAAATTCCTGCGTGCAACAAAAATAGTCCCTGACTGGAGTTTATAGCACTGTTGCTTCCGCATTTGTGCCGCATGTCTGATTCGGTGAAAGTGTTCGCCCGTAACACTCCAGTGCGCGGGTGCTTTCCCCACGTGGACGCTGTGTGTGAAGCACATTGGTGATGTTCCCCTTGTGATACTGCTGGATATTTGCTGAAAGCGGCGGGAACACCAAACATGCTAGCTAATAAAGTGAGTGAGTGAGTGAGTTGGGTTTAACGCCGCTTTTAACAGTATTCCAGTTATATCGCGGCGTGTCAGCGTTTGGAGGAAAGCCCGAAGTGATGCAGGTCCCAGACGTTTACCACTTCGGTGAAACCTACCAGCACGGGTATGGTGCAGACAAACCTAGAAACATAATCGGGGCGAACCGGGATTCGAAACCCACAGTCATAGGTTTCTGGCTTGCCCAAGGGACGCGCCTTAGACGACTGGGCTACCCGTGCCCGCACATGTTAATAAAAGCGACAAAACCTTTTCCATATCCATAAGAAGTGTCTGCCAAAAGCTATCCGAATATCGTTAGGCACAAAGAATCAAGTCATCCAGCCTTAGCAGATATACGTTATAAGGACTACATGTTCATTGAACGGGCGGATTTCAAACTTGCAGTGCCCATACAGTAAATTGATGGTCAAAACACAAAACGACATCGACATTCGATTTATAAACAACATGGCGATTGCCGTGCAGATTTCGATTCAATGCAGGATTTGCAGCGCAGGTGCACCGTAAACTGAGCATGTTTTTAATCAAGGTGCTCAAGCAAATGGATGCACTTCGCGAGGTAAGACCCTCTTTGTTACAATACAGATCTTGATTATCAATCAGATCGTCTTGCTATTTTGTTTGAAGCGAATGTAAGTAATATGAGAGGTGGAATCTGATTGGTTAGGAGGGGGACATAGAAGGGACATTACTCGAAATAGCCACTGATGGCGCTACGATCGTGCACATAAATTCCAGCCTAGTTCGGCAAGACTAGAAACTGAACTTTTACAGTCAGTGAACTCCCTTGCCTCAGGATGATATTGCTGGTCAAACGAATGTGTAATGTTGCTTAAAATTAAACGGTTTTGGTATAACAATGTTTCACTGTATAATACTTCCTCACTTGGAATGTGCATGGTTTGGGGGTTCCGGGTCAGAGTAGGTCCCCAGCAATCTATGCTGGACGTAAGAGGTGATCCGATGGTCAGGCTCGGTGACTTCATTGACAGTGTGTCATCGTACCCCTATAGCGTGGATCAGTTGACAGTGTGTCATCGCACCCCTATTGCGTGGATCAGTTGACAGTGTGTCATCGCACCCCTATAGCGTGGATCAGTTGACAGTGTGTCATCGCACCCCTATAGTGTGGATCAGTTGACAGTGTGTCATCGTACCCCTATAGCGTGGATCAGTTGACAGTGTGTCATCGCACCCCTATAGCGTGGATCAGTTGACAGTGTGTCATCGCACCCGTATAGCGTGGATCAGTTGACAGTGTGTCATCGAACCCCTATAGCGTGGATCAGCTGACAGTGTGTCATCGCACCCCTATAGCGTGGATCAGTTGACAGTGTGTCATCGTACCCCTATAGCGTGGATCAGTTGACAGTGTGTCATCGCACCCCTATAGTGTGGATCAGTTGACAGTGTGTCATCGTACCCCTATAGCGTGGATCAGTTGACAGTGTGTCATCGCACCCCTATAGCGTGGATCAGTTGACAGTGTGTCATCGCACCCCTATAGCGTGGATCAGTTGACAGTGTGTCATCGCACCCCTATAGCGTGGATCAGTTGACAGTGTGTCATCGCACCCCTATAGCGTGGATCAGTTGACAGTGTGTCATCGCACCCCTATAGCGTGGATCAGTTGACAGTGTGTCATCGCACCCCAATAGCGTGGATCAGTTGACAGTGTGTCATCGCACCCCTATAGCGTGGATCAGTTGACAGTGTGTCATCGTACCCCTATAGCGTGGATCAGTTGACAGTGTGTCATCGTACCCCTATAGCGTGGATCAGTTGACATTATGTCATCGTACCCCTATGGCGTGGATCAGTTGACAGTGTGTCATCGCACCCCTATAGCGTGGATCAGTTGACAGTGTGTCATCGCACCCCTATAGCGTGGATCAGTTGACAGTGTGTCATCGCACCCCTATAGCGTGGATCAGTTGACAGTGTGTCATCGCACCCCTATAGCGTGGATCAGTTGACACTGTGTCATCGTACCCCTATAGCGTGGATCAGTTGACACTGTGTCATCGCACCCCTATAGCGTGGATCAGTTGACACTGTGTCATCGCACCCCTATAGCGTGGATCAGTTAACACTGTGTCATCGCACCCCAATAGCGTGGATCAGTTGACAGTGTGTCATCGCACCCCTATAGCGTGGATCAGTTGACAGTGTGTCATCGCACCCCTATAGCGTGGATCAGTTGACAGTGTGTCATCGCACCCCTATAGCGTGGATCAGTTAACACTGTGTCATCGCACCCCAATAGCGTGGATCAGTTGACAGTGTGTCATCGCACCCCTATAGCGTGGATCAGTTGACAGTGTGTCATCGCACCCCTATAGCGTGGATCAGTTGACAGTGTGTCATCGCACCCCTATAGCGTGGATCAGTTAACACTGTGTCATCGCACCCCAATAGCGTGGATCAGTTGACAGTGTGTCATCGCACCCCTATAGCGTGGATCAGTTGACAGTGTGTCATCGCACCCCTATAGCGTGGATCAGTTGACAGTGTGTCATCGTACCCCTATAGCGTGGATCAGTTGACAGTGTGTCATCGCACCCCTATAGCGTGGATCAGTTGACAGTGTGTCATCGCACCCCTATAGCGTGGATCAGTTAACACTGTGTCATCGCACCCCTATAGCGTGGATCAGTTGACACTGTGTCATCGCACCCCTATAGCGTGGATCAGTTGACAGTGTGTCATCGTACCCATATGACGTGATTCATTGCCGATAGTATCAATCACTGGATAGTGTAGTCAAGACTCGATTAGTATTAAGAGCACGATGAAAACAACAACCAAGAATAAAAAGTAAGATTTGAAATCCATCTACCTGTAATTTCTGTCCTGAATGACATCAGGTACTCCTCATCCTCATCCTTATGGATGGAATACAGCGCGTGGACGAAAGGTGAAGAACGAAGGAAGTAGACTCGGTTGTTTGTCGTGTCTGCATAAATCGTTTCAGTGCCCGAAACGTCTCTTATCTTGGACAAAGGTGTCTCCCTTGTGCTGTCATAATGATAAACGCCCACACCTTCGTCATGGATCTGTAATACCCACAGCTTCATGGGATCTGCCATCTGGGAGAAGAAATTACTTCCCCTTACTCTATTGAAAACGCTAGTCGTATCTGTAGACGTCCAAAGTCGTTTAATTAATTGCTTTGGTAACTGTTGCATTTCATTGAGATTGTCATATTTACTTATATATGATATGCTGCGCCTTGAAACATTGAGTTTTAATTGTTTTTGTTTTGTTTTTTTATTCCAGCTATATGACAGCGGTCTCTAAATAATCGAGTCTGGACAAGATAATCCAGTGATTGATATCATGAGCATCGATCCTCGAAATTGGGATATGATGACATGCATCAACCAAGTCAGCGTGCCTGACCACCCGATTCCGTTAGTCGCCTCTTACAACAAGCATAGTCGCCTTTTACGGCAAGCATGGGTTGATAAAGACATATTCTACACTGGATCTTCACGGGTCTGTTTTACAATCATTCATACCAGCACATGTACTGCGAAACGCTTCATGGTATATTTGCTCACGTGAGGCACTGTCTTCATCAGCTGATGAACGTCAACAAATACAACTTCAATCCTTATATTGACAGATAGATAAATCATAACAAAACTATCCATTAAACATCAAACTTAAATTATTTGAAGAAAAATTTATCAAAGCTGAGAGTCGTGACGTCGATACGTCATCCGTCCTAAACATTCCACTTGGAGTGACATCCTTTGGTTTTACAAACGGCAGAAAATGGCGGCTACGGCAATGCCATTCCCTTGAAATGAGCACCCAGAAAAAGTTGGCTGATACAGAAATTGGATTGATATTAATTTTCCGTTAACTTTTTGTGTGTGACTTTATGGCTGCTGATGACGGGGATTACCGCTTGAGGCGGCGCGGTTGGATTCCCGAAGCAATATACACGACAGTGTGGAGCTCAGTGATTTCTCTGTTGGTAAGTCCTGCATTCTCTGTCCTAGCTAATTCGATGGACGCTTCATCTCGGTGAGCTGACATACATGATCTGTCTGGCATCCTCTGTCCTAGGTTCGATGGACGCTTCATCTCGGTGAGCTGACATATACATGATCTGTCTGGCATGCTCTGCCCTAGGTTCGATGGACGCTTCATCTCGGTGAGCTGACATATACATGATCTGTCTGGCATTCTCTGTCCTAGGTTCGATGGACGCTTCATCTCGGTGAGCTGACATACATGATCTGTCTGGCATCCTCTGTCCTAGGTTCGATGGACGCTTCATCTCGGTGAGCTGACATATACATGATCTGTCTGGCATGCTCTGCCCTAGGTTCGACGGACGCTTCATCTCGGTGAGCTGACATATACATGATCTGTCTGGCATTCTCTGTCCTAGGTTCGATGGACGCTTCATCTCGGTGAGCTGACATACATGATCTGTCTGGCATCCTCTGTCCTAGGTTCGATGGACGCTTCATCTCGG